CACTAAATGACACGACAATTTCCCCTCCTTCGCGCTCTTCGATCTTGTTTACAGGTCGAAACCTGTAGAAGCCCTTTGTTCAGAATGGATGGGATAGGGGGTGGAGGTGCGCGTTTCCTGACCTGCAAACGACCTTGATGTTGGTTGAGCTTGCCATTATAACGGCGACCAGCTGAAGGCCTAAGCTGGGACCTGGGTTATGTTTCTAATCGTTATGGCTTCGTGAGTTTGGTGTGCGGAACCTGGGATGTTGTGTAGGAGGTCAAAGGGTATCGAGGATGACCGTTCACTACAAAGGTGTCCAGGTCCGGATGCTGCCAGACAGTCATCAGTCCTGGTCACCACATTCTGATTGGCCTCATTTTCGCCCCTATGTTTTGCATGTTTAGAATCGGACGTCAGACTGAAAGCAGAAAATAGGAAATTAATGCTAGTATACAACGTGCTAATGTATAAACAGACAGTCTACTCTTGAAAAGCCATGTCTAGTTGAACGCCAAAGTGGCAGAGATCAGTCAGAGATGAATCACTCGTCGTCGCTGTATGCTGCGGGTGCCGGGGCAGCTCTCGATGATGAAGCTGCCGGCCGTCTTGGTGTGGGATTTCCGTCGTCTTCCTTCTGAGCAGCGTCCGCAGCGTCTATCCATTCAGAGTAAATGTCTACTGGCTCAGTCAAGTCTATGAAATGTTATCAGTCCATAGGTGAACAAAACGAGTTTAATGCAACGCACGGTTGACTTTGCTCTGATAGCGCTGGTCACAGATTTTGCAGACCAACTGAGCAACACCCTCTTTTCTATCCATTCGAACCGTCACGGACTTGTCATGGTGGCAGAATAGGCAAGTGAACTGCGAATCTATTGCCAGATCAGCCCAGAGTTCAATTCGAGTACTATACAAAAACCAGCTCACCGAGTGTTGGCTTTAGCCTAGGTGCTGCTGGCTTTTTGGAAGACTTGCGTTTGCCCATATCGTGGAATGGACTCAAGAAAGCTGTCCCTCACACGCCCTTTGCTCCCAATGCAGGATCGATCACGTGCGTCTGGCGCGCAGACGCGAGGTCCGTTGATCCAGGCCCAAGAGGCGTTTATTGGTTCTCTCATCATCCTCCAGGTACCTCCAAATGGCGGCACGTCGTCCTGCCTCTTCGCGGGCAAAAAATCCTCCAATGCCACCACCAGCAGTACCAGCTCTTAGAGCACGCTCGGCCATGGCAAAACCAGCATCGTCAACGACGACCAGCGAACTAGGAGAATCTTCGGGCACCCAAAACCAAGGAGGCGGAGGAGGAGGAACAAATATCCAGGTTGTGGTCAGGTGCAGAAACAGGTCAGAACGCGAAATCCAGGACAACTCACCCATCATCGTCCAATCTTCGGGGGCAAAGAGCAAGGACCTGTCGATAGAGGCTGGCACACCGACATCAAGTCTCGGGGTGGTCACAGCACCACCTACGAGAACATATCCATTCGATCTCGTTTTCGGTCCCGAAGCAGATCAGGCTATGATCTATCATGAAGTTGTTTCCCCGATGCTGGACCAGGTCCTGCAGGGGTACAATTGTACATTATTCGCGTATGGTCAGACTGGAACTGGCAAAACGTAAGTCCAGCACCTTTTCGCGTAAACTGCCTCTGAATTGACTTTGGCTTAGATATACTATGCAAGGTGATCTTGCAAGGACACCCATGGGCAACCCCTCATCCCATGCTGGCATGATACCACGCGTTCTATTCCGTCTGTTCCATCAACTCGAATCTTCAGGAGCCGACTACAGCGTCAAGATCTCCTACGTCGAACTTTACAATGAAGAACTTCGCGATCTCCTTGCGACTGACTTTTCAGCACCCAGCGGCTCTACACAGCCGATGGGTATGGCCTCAAAGGACAAGGACAACGGTCTCAAGATCTTCGACGATACTGGGAAGAAAGGTGGCGTCTTCATCCAAGGTCTCGAAGAAATCGCGGTCAAAGACTCCCGTGACGCCCTCGCTCTTCTCGTCAAGGGCAGTGAACGTCGCCAAATTGCCGCTACAAACTTCAACGACCATTCCAGTCGTTCCCACTCTGTCTTCTCGATCACCGTGCACACCAAAGACACGGCGTATGGCGAAGATCTCCTCAAGACGGGAAAGCTTCACATGGTCGATCTCGCTGGCTCGGAAAACATTGGTCGCTCCGGTGCAGAGAACAAGCGCGCCAGAGAAGCGGGGATGATCAACCAGAGTCTCTTGACCCTCGGACGAGTAATCAATGCCTTGGTTGACAAGGCACAGCACGTCCCATACCGGTATGCATAACCTTTAGTCTATCGGACATCCTCTCACAGCTTCACAGAGAGTCTAAACTCACTCGTCTCCTCCAAGACTCACTAGGAGGCCGAACCAAGACCTGCATCATCGCTACCATCTCTCCCGCACGTTCCAACATCGAAGAAACCCTCTCCACCCTAGACTACGCCCTCCGCGCCAAATCCATCCGCAACAAGCCCGAAGTCAACCAACGCATGACGCGAAATGCTCTTCTCAAGGAGTATGTCGCTGAAATCGACCGCTTGAAAGCTGACCTTCTTGCTGCGAGAGAAAAGAACGGAATCTTCTTCTCGGAGGAGACTATGGCCCAGATGAACGCCGAGCAGGAGCTCAGGAAGACAGAGCTGGTGGAGGCCAGAAAGCAGGTTGAAATTGTTGAGAAGCAGTTGAGGAACGTTCGCGAGGAGTACGACCAGAGTATTGGGCTGTTGATGCAGCGGGAGGACCAGCTGAAGGAGACAAGGACTCAGCTTGCGAATACCCAGAACAAGCTTTCGCAAAGGGAGGAGGACTTGAAGGTCACGAAGAATTCATTAAGGGAGGAGGAGCTGGTTCGGAAAGCATACCAGGACTCGGAGGCCAACCTGAATGGTGTCGCAACAGACCTAAAGTCAACGGTGTACGAAAGTACGAATCATGTCGAGGGCCTTCATGCCAAGCTTGGTGAGTGTTGTGACTGTCTTCTGAAATGAAAATTCTAATCCGTTTCCAGACCGGAAATCCGGTGTTCTTTCTTCGAACAAGCGTGCGGTGACCAAGTATGGCAAGGAAACTCTGTCTTCTGCAAACGCAGTCGCTTCCTCAATCGAGGACCACAACGCGTCGACATCACAGATCCACACCAACCTCGTCAACGAAGCTCAGCAACTTGCCTCATCGACGAAAGAGGCTCTAGAGTCTGGGATGCATACCCTCCAGGAGCGCGGTGAAAGCAGTCGCGGACTATTCAACAAGATCCAAGCAGACGACGAGTCCGAAAACAAGCTTTTCGCCGGGCTCGAGAAAGATCTGCAGACCGCACATTCCGCCTTTGAGACTCAGATGAGTTCCTGGCGGTCCACAGTCCAAACCGCCTTGAGCCAGTCGTGCACCCAGATCGGTACAACAATCAAAGGGCACAACAACACGGTCGAACGGTCCGTCGACGGGCTCCACTCTGCACTAGAAGAAATCGTTCGGAAAGCCAGACAATACCTCGCTGAACAGCGCAGCATCCTCGCCGAGATGAAGGAGAGCGCCGACCAGCAATCCTCTTCCGAAGTGACACGACTCAAGGAGGAGAACGAATGGCTGTCGAGCATCGTGAATGAGGAGAGGAAAAAGGCGGAAGCGTCCAAAGACCAGTTGATCCACCGAATCTCTGGGCTCCTGGGCAGCTTCTTGCAAGAGCGCGATGCCTCGCTGAGGGCGGCTGTCGAGGACGTGAAGGAGAGCCATAATGCTGAGGCCGAGGCGAGTCAGGCGTACTACTCGCAGCAGGATAAGAGGATGCTTGGTCTTGGTGAAAAGTCCAAGGTCTTTGAATCCACAGTCCAGACTGGCTCGAGGGAAGGAAAGCGGAAGAGGGAAGCTATTGACGAGGTATGCTCATATTGTTATTCAACGATATTGGTGCTGACGCTGCGATAGGCTGTCCGCAATACAACTCAAGCGCTCGACACGAGTCTTGGCGAGCTCCAGGTCTCGACGAGCAAGTCAATCGAGACACTGTCGATCAATGTGTCCAAGCAGCAGCGCAGTACCATCACCACATTCTCGAGTAGTAAGTGCTCCCGAACTTCCATCTCGTGCCCCCAGTCTAACAGTTAACCAGGCATGGAGGAATACTCACGAATCAAGAGAGCGAGAATGGACAAGACAGACGAGCTCCAAGGGAACGTGGAAGCAGACCACGAACTTGCCCAGAACACCCTCTCCTCCGCATACGAAGACGTCGAAGCCTTTGCCTCCAGCGTCGAATCCAACGTCACCACATTGGGAGACCTCTCATTGAAACACTTGGACGCTGTCCGTCGGAACGTTGACGTGCTGCAAAAGAACGCCCAGGCTGTGCTGGACAAAGGTGCCAGGGATGACCAGCCTACAGGTCAAACGCCTCAGAAACGGGGCTGGGAGTACCCAGAGGAATGGGAGCTTACCCAAAGTCGAGATGAGATTCTGGAAGAGTTCAGGGGTGCCCAGGCTGCATTGGCAGAGGCAGCCAAGCCCAAGCCAGAGGTGGTGGAGGCGCAGCCAGCGCAAGTGCCACAACATAAGAGGACTTCGACTTCGACATCGGACATCGAGAATTCGGTCCCTGAGACACCAGTCGAGAAGGAGATGATCATCCCACTCCCTCCGCCTTCAGGTTTGCCGACCAAGACGCGGGAGAGCCTGAAGGATAAGAGACAATCGACTTATGCTGCGGAGACGCTCGTCGAGTCGAGGAAGCGCAATGTATCAACACGCCGGCGGTGAGATGAGGGAGATCTACAGGACAGTTTCATTATCGTTTTGGCTTCTTTCTGTTCATTATTTCATGGATTATCTTGCAAGATACGGCGATTGACTACTGCATGCTATTTACTGTCTAATTTATTCCGCATTGTCTCCGACCTTTTGAATCATACCTTATCATCCTCTACTCAATCACCGGAAAACAGGAGGGAACATCGATAAAAAAAGAAGCAAACTAGGACTAAAAGAGGTTGCCCATAGCGAGAATCGAACTCGCGACCCTTGCATGGCATAAACTGTATCCTCATAAGTACAATGCTCTACCAACTGAGCTATACGGGCTTACACCGAAATGTTTCTTCGACCACTAAGACGTTTGAGCTCCTACATGATCTTGACCAAAACTCCTCCCCTCTTAGATTGTTATCTCCACCTCTAGAGCAGACGCTCAAGCCATAGACAGCCTCGAGCTAGGCGTCGTGGACTCTGAATCAAACCCTTCAACACACTTCCCTCCTGAGAGACGGACGGTCCGGGTCGCAACTCTCCTCCCTTGCTCAGCGGAATGCGTGATCCAAATGACAGCCTTGAGACGGGTGGTTGGTGACTTGACTTGGTCCGTGATACACTGCTCAACGAGGAGCGAGGTTTCCTCATCCAACGCCGACGTCGGCTCTGTTATCAAAACGCTTCAGCCATCTCGATTCGAGACAGGGAAAGAGGAAACCTTACCATCCAACAAGATAACCTCGGCCGTATCCAACGCCAGTGCAAGCGCCAATAACATCCTCTGCGCCTCTCCTCCACTGAGATGTCCCCAATCTCGCTCCCACAGCTCCAAATCGACGTCCCAGCTCTCGGTGATATCAGCTGCGCGTGCGTGCACGGTGGGGAACGCTGAGGAAGCTTGCTCGGATTTGGGACGTGCGTGGGTTTGGGAAGAGAGGGCGAGGATGGATTGGAGAAAGGTGGATGGACTGCCTGGGAGGAGGGAGGGGCGTTGGGGAACGTAGAGCACTTTTGTGCGGTAATTGGGGATGCCTGTGGGGGATTGAGGATAAGATAAGGTCCTTTTCGTGTTGGTGAAAACGCACCTAGATCTTTGGCAGTCCTAAGGAAGGCGGGGTAAGAAATATGAAGGGTACAGGACACATGAAAGTACTGACTTTCCACGAAACTTGATCACTCCCTTGTGCTGAATGAGGTGAGATATGCATTTCAGGAGAGTGCTCTTTCCACAACCACTTCTACCCCTTAGGGCAAGGATGTCGCCTGCAAACCGTGGTGAACTTCGAGCAAGGGGAAAGCAAGCCCACCTGAAACCTACCTTCATTCAGTTCTAGATTCAAGTCATCGAATATCTGTTGACTGTTTTCGACAGAACAAGACACGTTGACGAGCTGCAGCAGCGGGGTATCCATGTAGTTGTAGTGAAAGGGGTGAAAACCCAAATTGGCGTTCCGAAGACCCTTTTCTATAAATCCGGCTTGTCGGATCCTGGACACATAATAACAGCTCTGCCATTAGGGTAGATTACATTCTCTATAGGATGGGATGTGAGCAGGGGGCGTGTATACAGATCCTGTATGTGTATTACAATAGGTGATAAATAATAGATGATTAGTAACTAGGTTCTGCAGGCATGCCCATCTCTTCAGGAGTCAAAGTCGAACCCTCGATCATCACACCGACGCCAACCTTGGCAGCGTTCTGGAAGAAAGTACGCATTAGTACAGGACAACATAAACGATCTAGGAACATACCTTCAAGTGGTCGATTTCACCAGCAACCAAGAACGAGAACGCAGGAGTAAACCGTTGCTCGAGCAGGGCAGACACTTTGCCTGTCGAATCGACTTGGGCCTTGAAAGAGGCAAGTCGGAGGTCGTATTTGGCACCTAGGGTAGCGATGGCATCCCGACGCGTAGGGGTGGCGACGAACTGGAGGTCGGCAGCGACTTCGACCTTGTCGCTGAGCTTCTGCCAGTAGGTCGTCTGGCACATGCCCGACGGTTGTACTTGTGCGGTGGCAATCCAGTTCTTGTCGCTCCCGGTGTACTTCATCAACCATGAGGTGGCAACATCGCTCTCGTCAGGTGTTGGGCGCTGGTAGAGGGCCTCGACGCCGAGAGCGAGGTTCTTGGTAAATGATTGGAGGTAGCTTCCAATGTACATGCCAGTCAAGTCGGTAGGCCATGGGTTGATGGCCTTTGCGTTGAGGGTAAAGTCGGTGCCTTGGTATTCGTGCTCCATATGGATCATGTTATGACCCGCCTGTTGTGCAAACTAAACCGAGGGATTAGAATGGGATATAAAGTGATAATCAGACATACGTACCTGGCCTTGGACCTTGGTGATGTTCTTTCCTGACCATCCGTAGTTGAAGCGACCGTTGACGCTGCCTTCGTGGTCGACACCACCTTGTAGGAACAGCTATGGAGAGTGTTTAGAGTCACGATACACGTATATGGCGAGAACGACGTACCTTTTGGGTTGCAAAGATAGCTCCAAAGTTGTATGACGAAGGCAAGGTCTGGGACCCGAGAGCAAACGAGTGCGTCACTTGGAAGAGCGGGCTCATTGAGAAGGTCTTGGTGAGGTCGGCACGCGCGCCATCGAAGATAAAGTTGGAGAGATGAGTCCCTGGAACGTACAAGGTCTATTAGCTGTCCAATACGATGCTTAGAAGACGTACCCTTGACTTCTTTTTGCAGGTTCTCCACACTTCCGGGATGCGGAAGGCCCAGGTCACGTCGCCAGCTGGCAACACGGTCATAGGCGTTGAAGAACGGAGACATGGGCCCCGAGCGAGGCTTTACTACTGGAGGTGCTGGTATGACTGGCACCGCAAGAGGCGCGGGCTTTTCGTCGAGGGATATCGAGGCCATTGTGGTTCGTCGCGGTCAGACACCAAATACGTAGCGTGTACCTGGACACCTTAAGGTGGAAAGGTTTACCGCGCTGGATAAAACCCGCATTAGGTAACTCCTTCCCGTCCTAACAACAGTCAATACCCGCTCGTTCCCAGGCCAGTCAGTCTCCGACCGGGCCGACTCCCTTTCAGCGACAACTAAACTAGCATCCGATTTCCAAACTACGAATGACATCTCCATGTAATAATCTATCAAGGGCGTAGGAATTGGATATGCGACGCTGTTGCACACTTTGGCAAAATGTCTTCTGGGCATACCTCTTCATGCCGCAGGACTGACAACCCGTACACTGGATCGTGCTGATGGATTGCGTCTGGGATGTAACTTGAGTACATCTTTATCGACATGGTGCTGTATGCTTGGCAGAAGCGAAGGAGGTCCACATCCAGGGAGTGCCACTCAAGAGCGAGAATTGGGGCTTCCTGTATGTAAAAACACAAAGTTTCCAGCAATATGACTGCAAGACCCGGCGCAGAGAGTGACTCGAGAATTGTTACTGCTCCGCGAAACGGTGGACCAGTGTCGCGACACCCTGCAGACCAGTCCCGGAGGAACAGTGCTTGTAGTAACGGGAGATGCAGCTTTTTGGCCGTAGGAGGAAGTGTTAGACACCCTAAGAAATTTCAGCATGGGTGATCTGTTGAGAACTGTGACGTTTCGTACCTGACACTGATGTGACATCCAGAGATAAAAAACGAAGACTACCCCATCCATTGACTGTCTGAGCAAATAAAATCGCGGTGCCATCGAAGCTATTGCAGAACGACGACAATGACGTTATATCTTCGAAGTCGAAGAGATTGAGGATGGTATCATGGGCGTTCCTTCCATCCGTGGTCGAATATCCGATGGTGAATGTTGTCAACTTTGGGCGCCTGGGTTCAATGTTCCGTCTATCAGGCTTTCTTGAACCCCCTATGTCAAAGAGTCGGAGGGTGCGCAGATTCACGAGGAGGTTGAAAAAATTTGCAGGGAGGGTAGTAAAACCGCTGAGGAGGAGGGTCGTGAGAGGAGCGCCTACGGCCCGGATAATAGGTATGACCTTCGCTATTTCCGTCCAGGGTCTCGATGAGCGGGTAATGAAGCCGAGTTCGTGCAAAGCATGTGCCCTCATAAGTTGCTTTATGAATGGCAAGATGCTTGGAGCTGTGATCCAGTGTTCGTCGCATGGTCTCTGGCGAATGTGAAAGTGTATGGCCCGTATGTAGCTGGGGAGGATTTGGTTGCCTTTGGCAAGCCTAGTGAAAGTTTCGACAAAATCCAGCGCGTTGTGGGACGACCTTCTGTAGAAATGATAGCCGATGACAAGCCGTCGGAATAGGATTTGGCATATCAGGACGTTGAATAGCCGAGATGTGAGACGCGCAATGAGAATGCTGTCCAGAGGAATGGGGATCAGGAACATGTTGGTAATGATGAGCTGTAATAGCTCTGTGGGCATGGACATGGCGTATTGCTCAAACTGGTAACTTGTCGCATCGTCATGTCCAAAGTCTTCGATCTTCTATATACGCTACCTGCAGTTGATGAAGCTGCAACGGCAGCCTAGTAAACATTGTATTTGTCCTCGGACTTCTTGCGTACGGATCAGGGGATAACACCTACTCAATGATTGATACAGACAAAGAAGCTGCACACGCTTCAAAAGTACTACTGGGCTCACGTTGGTGTGGGGTACATCGATGATGTCATGTGGGAACAGGGGAAGTTGACCCGTACCGATAACGATCCGCAAGTTGCTCTCGGCGATGCGCACCAGCTCCGCGTCCAGGACATCCCAAGCCAACTCATCTCCTCATCCATGAACCCAACCAATTCCGCTTGGATATCAATGAAGGATAGACTGGGTGCTTCTAGTACTTGCAACAAGGAAGCGGCGCGAGGGAATGGGTTCGAACCATTCAGTGGTCCGTGGGAGTGTGATAATGCTGAGAATATTGACACGTTCTGTCTTGGGAAGCGATCCGGTGCAACATTTATCAGACACAGGTACAGAAAAATACACGAATTCATCATTTAAAGCACGCTGAATCATTGCAAAAGCGGTATCCTTTGTTGGCTCAGACTTCCTTCCGCAAGCAGAGCTCGACGATCGAGCTGAAGGAAGAGTAGGTTGGTGATCGCGCGCTTGCGCCGGTCGCTCAACTCCCCATCATTCCAATCAGACTTCACGAGTTGCAGTACCATGGATAGATGTGCAAGTCGGCGAAGAAGAAGAGATTCACCTAATATCTATTAGATTTCATGAAGGCTTGACAGTTAAGTGCTTACGAATTACTGAGAGGAAAGTGTTCCGAAGCATTGAGATGTACGCCGCCACCATGTTGTGTCTTCCACTGGGGGTGGGTTGCAGTGCAAATGATTGCAGACAAAGCATGATTGGTTGGTAGGCTGGCTCGGCATGAGTTAG